ACACAGCTCAAAGCAAGCCATAAGCACAATCACCGTGAAGATGAGTGGCATGCGTCTCTGGAGTAGTGGCTTCTATTTAGGTGCTACCTACTAGCTGATTTAATTATTTTACCCTATATTTCTTGTAGCCAGCACATTCACAGTGGTTTCTCTGTGTTCTGGCTTGTAGTCGAGGCTGTGGCTCTGATGTAACTGCCTTCTCATTCCCTGGCCCAGGCTAAAGCAGGAGCTACAATCTGGGATACACTGACTCCAGGACAGACAGACACCTCTCATTTCTTCATCAGGAATAGGGAGAAATTCTTTGAGCCAATTAATAGCGTCACATAACTCCTGGAGTTTAACGTAAGAATAACGTAAGAGCAAGGAACTCAGGACCACGAGGGGTGCACCCACACACTAAGACAATGGGGATGTTCTATTGGGATCTCACCAAGGCCAGCTGGCCTAGGTCTGAAAAAGCATGGGATAAATCCGGACTAGCTGAACATAGCGGACAATGAGGAATACTGAGAATTCAAGAACAATTGCAGTGGGTTTTTGATCCTACTGCACGTACTGGCTTTGTGGGAGCCTAGGCAGTTTGAATGCTCACCTTACGAGACCTGGATAGAGGTGGGCAGTCCTTGGGCTTCCCACAGGTCAGGGAACCCTGATTGCTCTTCGAGCAGATGGGGGGGGGGGACTTGATCGGGGGAGGGGGAGGGAAATGGGAAGCGGTTGTGGGAACGAGGCAGAAATCCTTAATAAATAAATAAATTAAAAAAAAATAAATAAAAAGTAAAAAAAAAAAAAAAGAATACCTTGGGTGTACCTCAATGGAGGCAGTGAGCGGACATATTGTCTGACTAACCTGGTACCCCAAGAAAGAAAAAGGGGTCATCCATTGTATTTTTCTGAGGCAATGTGAAGATGGAGAATCTTTAAATTAAATCTAACATTTGAGGTAGAATTTTTGAACCCTTTTTTGGTGTGGGTGGTCCAATAAGATATTATTCATATAGTGGATTACCAATATGTCACGAGGAATATTTTTTTAAGATTTGTTTATATTTATTTACTTATTATGTATACAGTATTCTCAGTATTCTGTCTGCATGTATGCCTGCAAGCCAGAAGAGGGCACCAGATCCCATTACAGATGGTTGTGAGCCACCATGCGGTTCCTGGAATTTAGGACCTCTGGAAGAGCAGGCAATGCTCTTAACCTCTGAGCCTTCTCTCCAGCCCATGAGGAATATTTTTTAGGGCTTGTTGCACATATATTAGACAAACTATGAGACTTTTCTTTATGCCCTGTGATAAGACTTTCTATTGGTAATGTTGTGCAAATTTGTGTACATTAGGCTACCAAACTGTAAAGGCAAACTGCTCTTTATCTTGTGGTGCCAGAAATATTGAGAAAAAAAAAAGACTTTAATGTCTATTAATAAAATACGCCATCCTGGGGAATAGCACCCAGGTGTGGCAAACCCACCTGGGGGACCCTGTTTTTTCCATTTGTGTATTAGGCTCATATTGTAACAGATAGTATTTGTCTGACTTTTTATTAATAACAAATATTGGAGTACTGAACCTGCTATGGGATGGTTCATTACGACAGAGGGAAAGCTGCTCCTTAACCAAATCTTCTAAAGCTGATAATTTGGGATCCACCGATCCATCCATACTGTTTTGTTTGTGAGACAATTTAAGGCTATAGGTTGTGGGATGACTTCATTAGAATGATGGTCAGTGGCCCTTAGGATTGGGGGTTAGGCCCTGCATAGTGAGGGCAGCAGGACTGTTGCCCTGACTGGCCCATATTATCATGTGATGATTATATCCTCATAAAGGGCCTTATCATCAGTAGTGAGACAGCACCCATTTCTTCCAAAAGGTTCCATCCCCAAAGGGTAAGGGGGCATCTGACACAATAGGCAGAATCTGCCTTGGTTATTACCGTCTAAGTCCTTCCAACAAACTTGGTGAACAGAGGTCTTAGAGGTGGAGTCACCACCCATCCCAGTAATGGTGGGGCCATCCTTGAACTTCCAATGTGGGAAGGCTTTGGCATCATTGAGCAAGACGATGGTGGCACTAGCCCCAGTGTTTATCCATCCTTTAATGGGCTTACCACCTAGAAAAAGTCACCATGGGAGAAAATGGGGAGAAATGGGGAGGGTCCAAAAAGCTTTTGGGTTTGCTGAGTCAGTGTTCTCTGTTACTTCCTGGGCTGAGAGTTGCCCCATTTGGAGTTTAAAGGCTGTTGTTGGGAGCTTCTACTCAATGATAGGACTTTTGGCATTTAGGGCATTTGGTCTTTGGATGAGCCCTGGAACAATCCCTATGTAAGTGGCCAGACTGTCCACATCCCTAGTAAGTATGGTCTGGTGGAGCAGATTTATCATCCTTGTCAAGTTTGACATTAACCAAGGTACTGGTGGAAGTTGTAAGGGTGGAAATGGGCCCGTTCTGTGTGTCAATATCACGGGTAGCTAAGACCTACTTATAAATATCCTCATTTCTCACAGTGCAATGGCATTATGGGTGACGGTGTTGAGACCCTCCCAGGTTAGCTGTTTAATAAAAATATCCTTAGTAGGGCCAGATAAGATGCACTTTTCAACAGCATTGGTGACACGAGTCAAAAATTCAGGAAATGCTTCCACAGCTTGCTGGACCAGATTACAATAGTTTATACTGCCCTGGGCCCTGGGCACTACAAAGTTGGAGGGCCTTGAAGGCTAGGTTGGACACTTGCTGGAAATAGGCAATCACGGATTGAGATCCAGGACTAGTGTATTGTCCACGGCCAGTAAGCCTGTCGAGAGTGACATTGCAAATTTGTACAGGCTTGGGTCTCTGCTGCATCATCACAGGCTGAGCGCCACTGGAAGAAAACTGAGGGGTCAAGAATGGCCTTTAGCATAGTGTGTACCAATCGTAATGGGTTTGAGGCTGCATGGCCCATTGTCTGGGTACCTACTCAAAATAAGGGGGCTCGGGGCCAGACTCATTAGCTGCCTTTCTAATTAGGACCATGATGGGGTATAGAGAAAAGGATCAAGCTAGTGGAAGTCGCCGCCATCTGAGAATGTTCCAGTTCCAGAAGGGAAAGGGGATTCAACCACAGTTGAGAGGTCAAAGCTTTTCTATGAATTAAGAGACCAGCCATCGCCCTGATGGCTCTTAACTGGCGGTTAACACATAGCTGGATTAGTTGAGAAGAGAGACTGGTACAAGAGGAAGTCCAACAGCCCACACTCCAAAGAGCGGTGGGAACTCTGTTAAAGCAAGAGAGCCGTAAAGCAATCCCGTCTCTCAGGCCGCGAGGGCATCTGTGCCAGGACAAGGACTGAAGAGAAAGGGAATGTTTGCAGACCCAGCATGCTGCTTATAGGGAGGGACTTCTGCGGCTTGTTAGGCCAGTTCGAGGGTCCTTTATTGGTTCTACCTCCTGGGTGGTTAGCCCTTATGTGAAGCTACCAGGATGAACTGAGTCACAATGGAGAGTTCCTAACCAGGATGACAAACGGGAAAAAAAAGTAAATGTTGGGTTAGGAAAGAAAGCTCCAGCTCACCAAGGGCTTAGAAAATGAAAACAGGGATCAACTCACTGAAAACAGCTGAAGAGGGCAAATGCAAGATGCGGGCAGAGAATCGGGATGGGGACAGCAGCCAGAAAGAAAAATGCCCAAAAGAGGGTAAGGAGGACCCCAAAAGAAAGCAAAGAAAGTGCCATGCAGCTCTTGCCTAAACTCAGTTTCGTCTTCATTTCATTTAGATTACATGCCTGTGCCAAGCACCAGGAATACAACTAAAATATGCCCCAGAGTTCTAAAGGCTTCTTCAGACCTATGTAGGCTAGGAAATTAAGGCACAGTTCAAAACCCTACCCAACAGCAAGTGGGCCAATAAATTGGTAGATAAGATCTTTAATTTTCATTCACTTATAAAATCCAAACTAGAACTCAGATAGTCAAAGATGTTATCTTTCTAAGCCATTGGGACTTTAGCCCGCAGGGTCACAACACTGTTGCTTTATGATCTGGCATGGGATCCACTAAGCCAAAAAGCTTCTCTTCTAAAACCTTTTACTTTCCTCCTAGGAAGACCTTCCCAAGACCTCTGACCTCTGATCTTATTGAATCAAAAATGATCACCTCTGACTGCAAAGGAGTCTGGGAAGGCAGGCACCAATATTTTGTTTACTGACTTCTGACTTCTATACAGAATTCTTTAAGTGAGATGACCAGTTAGAAATGCATATTAAATAAAACAAATTATACTGTCTACTACAGAGAGACACTGGAACAGAATTTGAGCAAGTGGGAACTGATTCAAAAGCATAGCGTTGTTTGGGGCCAGTGACATCATTTAACTCATTAAATGGGCAAAAGCATTCTACTAAGGAAAAAATGTAACAGAACCAAATGATTGGGGCATGAGCAATGTGGGGCTGTGGGTCAGTCTAGCACACAGGAGTGGAAAAAGGGGAAAGATCAATGTTGCAATATGGGATTCAATGCAACAGAGGCTTGAGCTCACAGTGGATCCTCCTACCCTCTAACCCCCCACCCCCAGGTACCTTTAAATGGTATGGAGAAACACAGGCATCTGCTTCAATACAGACCCCCTTATACTCAATACCAAATGAGCCTTGATGTCATCTCTACTTCTTCATAAAACAGTGCTGGGTATACCTGCCTGAGTTCCTGGTTCCTTGGTGCTGGACCTACTCTGTGTGACAGAACCATACAATCTCTGAGCCCATCCCGTGCTACCAAGTTCTCAGGACTAGGCTTAGAGGCTGAATAGGGAGGAGCTTGACTGTGAAATCGTCTTGGCTGTGGTGTGTTTATGTATTGCAGTATATGCACACATAATAGCATTATTCAGCTATAAAAGAAAATGAAGTACATGCTGCAATAGAAACAAACAGCAAGTCAGGCGGTGGCGGCACACACTTTTAATCCTAACACTCAAAGGCAGACGCAGGTGGATCTCTGTGAGTTCAAGACCAGCCTGGTCTAGAGCGAGTTCTAGGAGAGGTTACAAAGCTACATGAAAAACCTGTCATGTGGGATGGGGAAGACCACAAACAGCAAACCCATCAAGCATAGCTCTGAGGTATAACATTTGCCTGACAAACACAAGGCTTTAGAATTGGTCACCAGAAACAGAAACAAGTTAAGTAAAAGTCATTCAGTGAAAGAGTCAAACACAAAACTGTCTGGTTTTCAAATTCATGGTGAACTGTGAATGTATATACGTAAATCCCATTAAAATTATTTGCTTTAAAATGGTTAATTTTATAATGTGAATATCAATTAAAAAAATCACTGCTTCCTAGACTTAATGTCAAGTACTGTTAATTCTTTGCTTTGAAAGTATTTTTATTTTTAAAAGCTTCATTTTTACCATTAATCCCCATTGTTTAGTAGCCTTTGTCTCTACCCAGTTGTGCTCCTTGTTTGCCTTTTAATATTTATTCATTACTCATGATGGGCTGAGGAGTAGGCGGTAAGTCCAAATCAACAGCGCTTGTTACCTGTCAATATCTCTCACATAAAGGGAACAAATACTTAAATACAGACATGGGGAAACAAATTATTAAAATGGATTATGGGTTAATAGGGGTTTTAGATTCATCTATCATCATGCACTTTCATTGTGGTTTAGCCCACTGGACTGCATGCATCTTTGACAACTCTTGTGTCAAGGTTTGTCTGGATGGAGCCTCCAGCTCCCTGCAGGATCCAGAAAGCCCCATTCCTGTGTATCTCTCCAAAACCCAGTCTCCAAACAAAAATATGGCACCAAAAGGCCCAGTTCTGAGTTCTTAGTGGCTACTATAGCTTCCTCCCCTCAGGTAGCCAGCTGCCCAAGTGTCCCCCTAAAGCGCTCAGCTTTTGACTATACGTGGGCATAATCCAGGTTGCTACATCATCACCCCTAGCCTACAACCTATAAAGTCTCCCTGCTTTCATTTGTGGGCATGGCTTCTCCAGCCTCCATCTCCGGGTCTGGAGAACCCACCTGGGCGTTGCTTTGCCCAAATAAAGCTGCTCTTATACTTTTTCAATTCATCTTATTGCATTGGCAGAGAAACCTATTAGTGAGGGGGGAGGACAGAAAACCTACTAATGTTAATGAGAGTTACCTAGAACTGGCTATGTGCTAATTTCCCAGGACTTTGTAATCAAGTGCTATAACTTTGGAGGCTTAATTAACTAAAGCAACAGACACTTATTTTCTCCCAGCTCTGGAGGTTAGAAGTCTGCACCTGCAGCGCTCACAGAGCATGCGCCCTCAACAGCTCAGGGTGAAGTCCTGTCCCTCCCTGTTCCTTTTGTGGTTCTAGGCAGTCCTTACTTTCCTCTGTCTCCACCTCCATGGGGCTTCATTCACTGGGTCCTGTGCGGCAGACTTCTCGACCAGCGAGAAAGAACAACCACCACACGAGGATTCTTCTCAGATCACGCTTTATTGGAGTGCCCTTGGTTGAGAGAGAGCATGAAGCAAAGGGGGCCCGAGAGCCCTAAGGCAGCTGCTTATATCTGGAAATGGCACACGGGTCGCCCTGTGATTGGCTGCCACCAACAGCTGACACTAGACTGCATCGGGACAGGCCCAGGGACCCTTATCCACCGCGCATGCGGGAAGCGGGGGACACGCAGCTCTCAAACGCTTAGACAAATATGGAGTTGTTTATTTCCAACAAGACAGGATGTCGGCACCATCTTGTAATGGCGATCCTGTCCAGTTCACTACAGTCCTGCCTTTCCATTTTTCCATCCAAGACACAGTCATAGACTTACAACCCATCCAGTGTTGGAATGGTTTCTGCTCAACATCCTTAACTAACCTTATCTTCAGACTATTTCCAAGTAAGGTCACCTATGACATTCTAAGTAGCCATGGGTTTGAGGTAAAAGGGACACTTCATTTCATTCTAGCATGTAAGCCACATCATTCCTTTAGAGTCAGTTAAAAAAAAAAAACAACTCTCAAATTCAATCTTAGCTTCACAAATTTATAGTAAGATTTCCCAGGGTGGGGGGTGGGGAACAGAAACTTATAAAGAAAATATGAAGTCAAACAAGCCAACAAAATCAAACTGAGTGCTCCCTTTATCTATGAGCTAAAGTTGATGTCAATAAAAAAGAAAACTACCTTTTGGTAGAATCATTAAGTCAGTGATGTATTATTTATAATCTATTAGCATTAAAACCAACATTGGTAACCTTTGTTACCATGCCTTTAATCTCAGCACTTGAAGGCAAAGACAGATGTATCTCTGTGAGCTCAAGTGAGCTTCAGGACAGCCAGGGATATACAGAGCAACCCTGACTCAAAAACACAAAATGAAACAAAAACAAAAAAAAATCAAAAACCACTGGGGCCACACTATAACAATTCAACAAACCCTGTCCTAGAACTCAGGGGTCTTGCATGTTGTTTTCCCTAGAAAAAGTTTTAAAAGCAATTCCAGGGGTGGAGAGATGGCTCGGCTCTAGAGGACCCAGTTCAACTTCCAACACTCATGGTGGCTCACGACCTTCTCTCACTCCAGTGAGGGGATCTGATGCCCTCTTCTGGCCTCTGGGGGAACCAGGCATGCAATGTGGTACACAGACATATGCAGACAAAACACCTATATACATACAACACACACAATTTTTAAAAGAGAGAAGGATCCCTAAGGCCCTCTTCACCCTTTTTGCAACACTGGGATAAAAATTAAAGCCTTCCATATGTGAAGAACAAACTCTACCATTGAGTTATATCCCTAGCCCAGTCATGTTTACCATTAGCTTTCAAAATGTGGATGAAACTTTATTATCATCTTCAATTTATACTACAATCATTAGTCAGATATCAAGTACTTAAAAGAGCATAATGGAAATCCATCTTTAAATGCTAATAAAAAGATAATGTATAGATAATTTTGTAAACAAATTATCAAATAAAAAAAATGCTGGCTGACGGTTCATTTTTCAAACATACCCCACTTTAATATTTAGGGGATGTTTTATATCATAAAATTCTTTTTTTAAAGGATTTTTCAAATATATCAAGATTTATATGAAAAATGAAAATTTTTGTTAGAAAACATTAAATATAAACCCAATGTAGAAATATGAAGGTAGACTATTCCTTTGGCAGAAAATAAGTAACTACAAACATCTTAAATTAAGTACAGTTCATAGGATCATGGGAAGAAAAAATATATCTTTACATTTTGTATTAATACTGAAACCAGATCAATACAGATTTAATATCATTTTATGCTTTCAATAACTCCGCAACACAAATTTATGAGTGGATAAAATAAAATCATTTTGAGGAGGAAGAAACTTCTGCATATATTAAACTTCACATACACCAATATATACTCTTTATATACAGATCATGTCTTATTATTCCAGAACAGCTGCGCTTTACTGTCTGGTCCCCATTTAGTGGGTATGCAGTATTCACAATGACTTAAAGGCTTCTACTGAATAAAGCTTTCATAATTTAGACAAGAATTAAACATGGAATGCACAAACATTGGGATGAGCTTATAAAAACAGCTCGGAAGAGAAAGGTAAGGTATGTCATTTATGCAAACATTTTCCGGAGCAGCACTGGATACTTTAAAATTTATTCCCTTAATTGTTAAAGAACACAAGATTTGTTTCCAAAAAAGTAAGGTGCCATGTTACAGTACATTCTTGTAAGTACATAAGTGAGTTCACCTGAAAGGAAATGCGACATGTAAAACAGAACATGGGGTTTGGCTTAAGGCTGAAAATCTTTCCAGTCTCTGGTGCTAACATCAGACACTCACAGAACACAGGCTTGCAGGTACCGACTGTTCTCTTCAGTGTGGGCCGTTTTATGCAGTAGCATGTTCTAGAATAAAGTTTCTTTGAAAAAAGAACATATCTGTAATCAAATATCTATAAACAGAGTAATGATAAAATTTACAAATTGTCTTCCAAAGGATTTTTAATAGAAAGATTAAGTGCTTAAAAATATACAGAAATGCATTCATGCAAAAATTTTTATTTTAAAAAATTAAGCTTGGAACACGTTCGTAGTCTAAGTATAATGTATCTGAAGCCCGTGCATCTGTGTTTTCTAGTTTGTTGCTATGTAAAAAGTTGGTACAATAGAGTAGTGTGCAAAGTTTTAAGAGAACACCCCTTTAGTTATCACCAGCTCCCACAGTACGTAGGATCTAATGAACTAATTTATGCACTAATTTAAAATGTGACTTCAGAAAGACAGCCTGTCCTCTCCTGTCAGTCACACCCTTTCTACCAAATCACTGCCTGCAGTTTCTGCACAGGCTCAGCTTTCTTTCTGAGGGAACACACAATTCCTCAGCAGCTTACCACTGCAATGTCAGTCACTTCTGTAAGAAGGTAACACACCCACCTCGCACTTCACACCCAGGATGGTTTCTACCACGGCAGACTAGGAAGAAAGTCTCCCTAAGAAGTATACTCTCCTGGCAGGAAGGAAAGCCAAATGACAGCACCTTCATGAGACAAGGCCAAAGTCACTTGAAAAGGCCAACAGTGGCAATCCTAAAGACAGGGATTCCTCAGGGAAGGCTAATGTTGTACGGAGCGTTCCTAGGCCCTCTGCTGTTACAGGATTGGCTAGCTGCTTAGCCACATTTGCACTGATTGGCTTTCACTGCTGGTTACAGAGAACACTTTTGTTCCTTCCAAATTGCTCCTGCTTCTGTAGACAATTAGATGCTAATTATTACTCAGCAGAACACTGAGAGCAGAACCGACAGCGCTGCAAACACAACTGTAATTTAAGGAGCCCACAGGAAATACACTGGCGAGCTAAAGGCTTACACTAAAAGTAATAGGGTGGGGGAAATTCGGAAAAAAACGCAGACAAAAACACTTAAAGGTCTTCAGTGCTCCTCAAATCACATCTGAAAGGAAACAGTCGTTTCCTTAAAGAAAAAGTCTCAACTCCTATTTTACACCACTGTAGTGTTATAAGGCTACTTATTCACTGAGGCCCCAAAACGTACAGCAAAACTAACCCGAAACATCAGTAAGCTGCCTCTGATCAAAAGATGAGCTTCAAGCGAACTGGACTTGAAAAATAAAAAAAAAGCAACCCTTTTATGGCCTTCAGGGTAAGGTGGGTTTTGTGCTTTATTATGCATGGTTCTTTCTGATTGAGAGGGGAAAGTCTTAGTATTTCCCATCAGAACCCTCTGGGTTGAGTGACACACATCCAGGGACTCCAACAGCCCTGGTGTGTCTCTAAAGGAGAGGCTGCTGGTGGTAGCTGGGGGACGGCTGTGCGGCTGGAGGTGCAGGGACTGCCACTGGGAAGCCAGCCAGCTGTGGCAGCCCGGATGCTGTGTTCTGGTAAGAGGACACATCTGCTGACATCCTCACGGGCTGTGTGTAAGCCGTTAGACCTGCCGCTGACTGAAGATGAGAGCTCTGGTTCCCGTAAGAAGGGCTGGAAACAGTGTCCTGTGCAGGGCTGCCAAGGGAATTCCACACAGAAATGACATTTAGGTTACATTACGGCAACAGAGCATCATGACAAACACTTCTCTTCCATCTTCTTTTCAAGCTTATGTAGTCATCAGATACTGTTAACAAAATTTTGTTTCTTTGCTTTTTTGAGACAGGGTTTCTCTGTGTAACAGTCCTGGCTGTCCTGGAACTCTCTCTCTCTGTAGACCAGAATGGCCTCGAACTCAGAGATCTGCCTGCTTCTGCCTCCCAGTGAGTGCTGGCATTAAAAGATGTGTGCCACCACTGCCTGGTGTGATTTTTATGCTTACTGAGAAGAGCAGGGCTGGAAAACTGACTCAGAGTAGAGACAGTGCACACTGTGAAAGCACGAGGACCTGAACCTGGAGCCTCAACTAACCCAGGACCGGGAGACAGAGGCAGCTTTCCTGCCAAAACAGACTGCTTGGCTCCAGATTCAGTGAGGGAATGCATTCAAAATAAATAAATAGACAGATAGAGAAGTGAATGGCGCTAGGGAGATGGCTCAGCAGTTAAGAACACTGGTTGCTCTTCCAGAAGACCCAGCTTGATTTCCAGCACCCACATGGCAGCTCACAATCATCTGTACCTCAAGCTCCTGGGGATCTGGTATCTGTTTTGGCCTTGGAAAGCATCAGGCACACAAATGGTTCACAGACATGCACACTGACAGAACAACCATACACACACAATTTAAAATAAATAACCAAACATTGGTGTAGATGAGACCGAAGAAGATGCCCTGACTGCTGGCCTCCACACATGTCCACATGGGCAGCAAACCAGAAAGGTAAATGCAACCACATAAATGCACCCACACTGCACACACAAATAAAGAAAAAGGAAATGAGAGGGATCAAGTGACCAAAGGGGCAAGAGAAATCCTGAAACACCCAAAGAGACGTTTATTTGACAAGATCTCAGCAACTATGTACTCACACAACCGTGTGCCCTGCACAACCGTGTACCCTGCCCAACCGTGTACCCTGCCCAACCGTGTGCCCTGCCCAACCGTGTGCCCCGCCCAACCGTGTACCCCGCCCAACCATGTGCCCCGCCCAACCGTGTGCCCCGCCCAACCGTGTGCCCCGCACAACCGTGTGCCCTGCCCAACCGTGTGCCCTGGACAACCGTGTGCCCTGCCCAACCGTGTGCCCTGCCCAACCGTGTGCCCTGCCCAACCGTGTACCCTGGACAACCGTGTACCCTGCACAACCGTGTACCCTGCACAACCGTGTACCCTGCACAACCGTGTACCCTGCACAACTGTGTACCTGCCTAACCATGTACCCTGAAACTGTGAACCTGCACAACCGTGTACCTGCCCAACCGTGTACCCTGAAACTGTGAACCTGCACAACCGTGTACCTGCCCAACCGTGTACCCTGCATTGTGCATAGAACTTTATGGATCAATCACTTAGACAGCCAGACTGACTCACACTCTAAGTGGGAAATAAACCATACCAAATTACAAGACTTTGCTTTTCTCCTATTATTAAAAACATATTTGATCTTAAACCACACCAAATATGTTCCTTACAGCAGAGGATTAATATGTTGATATTACATTAGCTTTTTCTCATAATTTCTACTGTCACTCAGAATAATAAAACTGTCATTTAACCCACAGACACAGTTCATTAGTCTTTAAACTTCCTACTCATGAACTTTAAGTTGAAAAGGGACCTTGGAGGGTAACTACATATAATACTGAATACATATTTTCTATGATAGAGTAAATAGATTGGAAGATTTAAAATATGATTATCAGAGAAATTTTTGTATAAAAATATTAAACTAAAGTCCATCATTCAAACTTATTTCCTTTTATGGATGAAGCAGTAACTTTTTTTTTTTTAAACATTTAGGAGTGCATACAAGTAAGTATCCTGACATTACTTCATTAGGCTAACTAACCACAGCCTGTGTTAAGAACACCATGGCATCAATCCCTATGAAGGACAACTACATACAAAATAAAGACTTTTTCTAGGAGCCAAGCAGTGGTGGTGCACACCCTTAACCCCAGCACTCAGGAAGCAGAGGCAGACAGATCTCTGTGAGTTCTAGGCTAGCCTCGTCTACAATACAAGTTCCAGGACAGCTAAGGCTACACAGAGAAACCTTGTCCTTAAAAACAAAAACAAAAAACAAAATAAAAATAAAGAAAAGAAAAGGAAAAAAGATTTTTGTTTAGGATCTTAAATTATGTGTTTAAATCTTAGCAACTATCAAGGTATTCGCTGAAGTAAAGGTAGCACCATTCTACTTGGTGAGAGCAGTAGTGGGAACTTCAGTAACTCCACCTTAAGAGTGAATGTTGAGAGTGGGTGTGGGAACACACACCTCAATCCAGGAGGCAGACAGTCAGACAGGTCTCTCAAAGTTCAAGGCCAGTTTGGTAAACACAGTAAATTCTAAAATAGACAGGGCTACATAGAAAAACCCTGTCTCAAAAACCAAACAAACAAGCAACAACAACAAAAGTAAAAAGTAGGAATATTACTTAGTGTAACAAGAGTTTGTAGGTTCTCAATCTAAAACTAAGAAAAATTAACACAGCTCTCTAAAACTTACCTTAAATATGGAGTTTGGACAGTATGTGTTGTTACTACGGAGCTCATATTTGGAGGCAGAGATCTCAGTGAGCCCACAGGATCAGGTGCTAGGCCATAGCTCTGGGCAACAGACACTTGGTGAATATTATGACCCAGGTAGTTCCCACCATGCGTCTGAACTGGATATGTCTATTAATCAAAGAGAAAAAAATGATACCTTGCTCTCTCAATCATTCACTAAACATATGCAAAACTGTAAGACTTAAAGGAAATAAAATTTTTAATTATTTGGGGAACAATCTGATTCTACCAATCTTTCCACACTGGAACAAAAAGTGGAGAACTTCCAATTCAAGGTGTCTAATCAATGAACATTTACAATGTTTTTTTTAATGGTTCTTTGACTTTCAGTTTTGAAGGAAAAAATGGAAACTATTTTAAAGTAGAAAGCTGGACTCTATCTACATCTTGCCAGAGCAGAGCCTTCCCTGACCTCTCCAGGCCACCACGATAATGACAAGTCTTGGCACTCTCGTTCCAGGATGCCTCCTCCAGCTCCTCCCTGTTGAACAGAAGGTTCAAAGAGAGGCCAGGACCAAGCCCTCTCTGCATTGTGCACCACATCTCCTGCTCCAGTGGTTTAAATGAAAATGTTCCCCATAGGCTCACAGGAAGTGACACTATTAGGAGGTGTGGCGTTGCTGGGGGTGTGTTCTTGTTAGAAGAATTGGTCACTGGGGATTTGAGGTTTCAGATTTAAGCCCAGTGTCACTCTCTCTTCCTGCTGCCTGCAGATCTAGATGTAGAACTCTCAGCTCCTTCTCCAGCACCATGTCTGCCTGCACACATGCTTCCTGCCATGGTGATAATGCACTTAACCTCTGAACTTGTAAGCCACCCCAATGAAATGCTTTCCTTTGTAAGAGTTGTCCTGGTCATGATGTCTCTTCACAGAAAATAAAGCCTAAGACACCTACCTGCCTTCAGAAGGTAAAAGAGAAAGAAGCTGTGAGGATAAGACAAAACGCATCCTTAGGAAACCCCAGTCACCAGATTCTTATGTATATCTATGCAATTTGCATAGGACAGCTCCCTAAGGAGCTGTCTATCAGTCTACTCAAAACAGCATTCAAAACAATTCATATGTTTAATAAATACCATACAGTAGTAATCACTGGTATAGTTTTGTTTAAAGCAAAGATCACATTAAAATTTAGAATAGTAGGCATGTCACATAAACTACATTAAGTCCAATGGCATTATCTCTCTCTTTAGCAATGACTGGCAGCCCACCTCTAAGAGGCTGAGACTGTAAGCACTGATGAGCAGCTCATGGTTTAAGTATTCTCTCAGACATAACTAATGGTGCTGTAACTCCATCTACTCTTAGTAGACACATTTTTCAAAACAGAATGGGAATTTTTGGATACTTTAAATAAATTCACACATGAGTTCATATACTTAGAGGCTGTGTGAAAAAAGTAAACCCTTAGGAAGCCTTAAGGCAAAAAAGAACAGCTGTGCATTGACTGCAGACAGACCTGGCACAGGAATGGCCACCCTTCACAGACACACAGTCTACTGTGGGACAGACATTTCTACTCCGCTCCACTTTCATAGAAGCAACAAATATAGTTTTGAAAACAGAAGTAACAGTGGGTAAACTTCAGGAGTCTTTCTGCACCCAGAAATCCTTTCTAAGCTCATACGTAATTTTCACAGCACAGCATGATAAATGCTTCTCTAGTGTGACAGTTACCACAGTAACCTTTTAAAAAAACTTAGCAATTATATTGTGTCACATCACCTGAGTTGTGCTCCCACACTCCACTTTTCTCCTTGGTATCTCCTTCACACACACTACTCGTTTTCATAAATTAACACGAATTTTGCTCAGCCATGTCAATATAAATTTAATTGGCCAAAATTTGAAAAATATATCAGAATTGGGGATATTTAAAAACCTAAGTTTTCTAATGTCAGACGGCAAGCACAAAAACATGGGAAGCACGAGAAAGTGATGCTGGTGTTAATGGTCAGCTTACGATGATGCACCCCAGGGGTCTGCAGCAAAGCTTTATTACACAGACTTTTTTTGGTTGTTTGAGTCAGGGTTTCTCTGTGTAGCCTTGGCCACCCTGGAACCCACTCTGTAGACAACGCTGGCCTCAAACTCAGACATCCACCTGCCTCTGCCTCTGCCTCTCAACGATGTGTACCACCACTGCCTGTTTTTGTTTTTTTAAAAAAAAAATTTTGAAGTCATGAATCTAAGAAAATATAAGGCATGCTCTGAGAAAAAGAGGAGCTCTTAGATGCAGAGACCCACAGCCAAACATTAGGCAGAGCATGGGAATCCTGAAGAAAAGGGGGAGGAAGGATTGTAGAAGCCAGAGGGGTCAGGAGACCATAAGAAAATGGTCCACACTAACCAGGGTTAATAGGGGCTCACAGAGACTGATGCAACATTCACGGTCTGACCTAGGTCTTCTGTATATATGTTCTGGTTCTGTTGCTTGCCGTTGTCTCGTCCAGCCATAATAGGGAATGTGCCTCGTCTAATTGTAACTTGATATGCCATGTTTGGTTGATATCCCTGCCTGTCCTTTTTTGAAGGGAAAAGGAGGAGTGAATCTGGGGGAGAGAAGAGATTCTGGGGATGAGGTGGGAAGAGTAAGGGAGAAATTGGTTGGGATGTAATATATGAGAGAAGAATAAAGAAAAATGAAAAAAGAAGGCACCCATTAACTAATCTTTAAACAATTACCTAGGACAAATCCTGAAGAAAGCTCTGAAAGAAATACTTGATCTCACCCAGCGGGTTTACACAGCACACTAAAGGCTGGGCTGTATGCTGGGAGGTTTGACTTCCAGTTGCTTGGTGCTGGAGAGCTAACTTTACCAGCGAACAGATCAATGTGATAGTGACCCCACAGGTTGTTGGGATGTAACATGAAGATTTGCTGGAGGAAACAGGTTACTGAGAACGTTTGAAGGTTTAGGTCGGCCCCAGACCTTCACTGCTCCGCTTCCCAGCTGCCGTGAGGAGGGAGTGGCTGTGCTCCACCCGTTCTTCCAGGCCCAAGGCGATGGAATCTCCTCCTTTCAGTCCATTTTTCTCTAGTATTCTGTCACAGGGAAGGGAAGCTGACCCAGGCAACTTTAAAATTTCTTTGGGTTGTAAGCCTAGCCTTTAGTGGCAGAGCTATCCCTCCAACCCGAGTTTTATAATGTTATTGAAGGGCAATAGATCTTTAATATTATGCTCTTAAACATTTAACTTTAAAAAGCTGGCTACTTTCTGGAAAGCAACGCTCACCTGCACTGGAAGCCCAGCTGCTGTGGATGGGTAGTGCGCTGGGTGAAGCTTGGAGTAGACCGGGTAGAGAGGCGTGTCATTAACCAGCTTGTTGTACAGGTCCAGCGCTTCCAAGACCTTCACGTTCAACTCAGACAGCTCGGAATGCCGCCTGGGAGAGAAGAAAGGTATTGCCACAGAATTGTGCAGGATTGTTTGAGTTTAGTGTTTCTATTCATACTTCAAAAGGCTGTTTTCATACGCAAGGAAAGGACAGTCATAGAGGGAACCTGAGAGGAGAAGCTATTGAATTCAGTCAACAGCTCAGCCGGGAAAGTTAGGTCTCTACCTCATAATGGAAATCAATTCATAATTTGTACCAAAATTTGCTTTAATATATTATAGATTTATGTTGAAAATTTAATTACAAAGAAAAATAGTCCCATTTCAGTAAAAGTCTAAGCCTTAATTATAAATCTCACTAGCACAGTGTGCAGGTGATACCCAGAGCATCTGTGACTTAAACAAGAGCACAATGGGAAAAAAAAAATCATACACATTTTAACTTGCTTAGATCCATGAAAGGTCAACTAAAGAATTATTTAACTCCCCTTCTGCTATACGAAGACATGGGTGAGAAAAAGATGCCCCCTCCCTCCACCCCTGGCTACCTGTGGTAGACATGAGAGCTGACCCCGGCACTCAAACAGAAGAGGGAGAGAACGAGCCCTGCCCTACATCAGCTGCAGCACACAGAAGAGCCCTGCTCCCCACTAGACCTGATCCTGTTGGTGGCAGGAGAGCCAGTCCCGAGGGTGTGAGAGCAGGAGAGATGCCCCTTACAGCAATCAACAATCAGGAGAGAGGGCCCTGGACCTTGCCTGTGTAAAACAGTAGAGCTGGCCTTGCCCCATGCTATAGCATGGTGAGCTAGCCAAGGCAGTGCTGGAGAGCTCATCTGGGTAGTGACGATGAGGAAAAGTGCTAGCAAGCTACCAACCTGGCTACCATCCAGGCCCAGAACCAAGACTATGAGTTGGCCCACCCCCCAAACCCCAATCTATTAACTGCTGGAGCATGTGAAGAGGACGAACCTACAGATCCAAAGCAGCAGGATCCCCATGACACAGGACAACAGGATAACCAAGAGGAGCCCCAGGGAGATCTCAATATTGATAGTGTAGCATGAACCAGGTCCTCAAAGCATACCAATCACAGCAACAATGAACACTTGCAAGTAAAGATGAACGGACTAAAAGGTAAACTGTGCTTCAACAGCCACACTACAGCTTCCACAACAAGGCTTTCTATTTGTTTGTTTGTTTTGTTTTACATTTAAATTTAGTTTTGATTTCAGGGAAGGCTGCAAGGGCAGAAGGCAGATTTGAGGAGATGGAGAGATAAGTGGGATTGGAATGCATGATGTAAAATCCACAAAGAATCAATAAAAGTAAAATAAAAAATTATTTAAGTATTACCAAGAAAACACAAGTAAAATCAATATATATATATACATGCTAGTCCCCACTATTCTTTATTCACTTGGTGGTTTTGAGGAAGTAAAAATAAAACCAGATATCTTATTGTATAACAAACAACAAATCTAAACATGGCCCAGGGAACATACAGCAAAAATCCTTTGATTTAGTACAATTCTGTCTAGTCCCCTAGAAGTAATAAATGGCAACTTACAATGGACCAATTTTTACCAGTTAAATGGCTACTTTTTATATGGTCTAAAGCACCTACATGAAGGTGATTCAGAGACAGGTATCCCGAGCTTTAATTCCTTTACAAAGTTTTCTTTAGTGACATTCTTTTTATTGAACAAAAATAAGGTTACACTGTCATATCTTCCCTTACATATGGCATCATTCCATATCAACAAATATTTATCAATGGCAATGATTTCTACTATGAAATACATAATGTTTAATCTTGAAAACCAATCTCACACTGAAAGGCATTTTAGTTAGCTGCATTTTTATAGTCATAAATATAACTGTGCTGTATACCACACCATCTGATCATTGAATATCTCCCCAGGTTTAGTATGGACTTTAAATGGCTTGGGTGATTTTACGGTCCAAGAAAATGTATGCCTATACTCCTAGTCACACCTATGGCAATCTGGTCATTTTCTTTCTCAACTTTTCCAGTTGGTTACTCACTAATACTTCATAGAAGACATGTAAGTAGGCCTGTGATTAATATACCACTGATTATTTCATTTTTGTAAAAACACAAAGGATTTGTATAAATTTGTTATGGAGGAGCTAGAGAGATGGTTCAATTGTTAAGTACATTGTCTACTCGTCCAAAGGACCCAGGTTTGATTCTCAGCTTATAACTCCAGTTCTAGGGGATCTGATGCCCTCTACTGGTCTCTGCATGCATCAGGCACATACATAATGCACAGACATACATGAAAGCAAAATACTTATAAAATAAAAATAATTTAAAAATACTCTATGGAACAAAACTATTTTTCTTTGAATGAATCATCAGGTTTGCTATTCCTACTTTAAAAAGTGTATTAGAAAATTAAACAACTTAATTCTTTCCTTCCTGTACTATTTTAGGGGCTGGAAAGGGAGAAGAATGGAGACTAACTTCTTCCCCTGGACTCCAGTCCTCAACTTTCTCCTTCCAGTTCAGAGAGAGCTGGCAAACGGCAGAATGGCTCAGCCTGACGGCTGACAGCCGGCTCACCCACCAGTGCTGCTGCCCCTTCTCCAGACAGGGGATCTGAAAGGGCAACAGCAACACAGAGACACGAGAGAAAACAGGAAAAGTCGCTACATTGCATTTAGCTCCTCAAACTAGAGAAATTTTCCTTGTAATGTACACAGATGTCTCTTTTGGGTGTGTAGCACGTCAATGCTTGTCTAAAACTCTCATTTGCATTTTGTCCTCAATTCACTTTATTCTTAATTACTCAATTCCAGCCCCGAAACAAAGTGACTGGTGCGATCCAATGCAAGAGTCCACTATTCTATGCACATCAGACACTACCGTTGATGAAAAAGAATGTTCTCAGAATAAACACAGCAACTAGCTGTAAGACTCTGGCAACTAAATAGGAACTGCAATAGATTTTACAGTTCCAGAAGCACTGTCTCCAGCCGGAAGCTCACTCACAACAAGCAAACATGGAAATGATACTATTTTCCAGTGCAAGAAAAACCTCACCTATCAATCTCTTCAAGTTTTTCGTCTATCATTGGACCCATCTGTTGGCAAATATCTGTAAATAACAGAAATAATTACAAACACAGAAATTTAATGCAGCTCAAGTCATTTCAACAATCTTTAAGCAAGAGAACATGCATCATAATATAAAATACTGAGAAATAAACTTATGCTAGAGATAATAAAAGATCTATTCTTATCAACATTTACAGCACCTTTACTGTTGTAGAAGACTATCGCAGACCAAGGCAAGGTCAAGATTAGAACAAAATCCCATCTTGTTCCTGGACTCATTAACCAAGTTTATAGGGGTAACTGACAGTTATCCCAAAGTCTGAAGAGATCTGCAGAACTACTAGGTAAGTACAGTGAACCTGACCTACACTGTATAAAGTATGTCCACATGTGCATGCACATTAAATAGGAGCATTTTTCATTTATTTAAGACTTTTTAAAATGCAAGGCTGATTAAGATACCTAAGCAGATAAAGGAGTCTGCTACACAAGCCCGGTGACCTAGCTTGATCCCAAGGACCCTCCTGTGGGACAGGCACCTCCAGGAACGACCCACCTGTGGGACAGGCACCTCCAGGAAGGACCCTCCTGTGGGACAGAGGCGCCTCCAGGAAGGACCATCCTGTGGGACAGAGGCACCTCCAGGAAGGACCCTCCTGTGGGACAGGCACCTCCAGGAACGACCCTCCTGTGGGACAGGCACCTCCAGGAACGACCCTCCTGTGGGACAGGCACCTCCAGGAACGACCCTCCTGTGGGACAGAGGTAACGGCAGAAAGCCATCCTCTGCACCCCACATGTGCACATGGATACTAGCCCACACCATATACCATGCACATGTATAAAAACATATAAAAACACTAATAAAAAATAAGTACTTCATATATTTCCAAACGATAAAAACACAAATATAATGGGAAAAAGCTCCATATTCAGAGCCAAGCTTCCTTCTATTCAAAAAAATTAAGATTTCTCTATGTACTGTATTTTTTCCAAAGGAAATTGTTTGGTTTTTGTGGGTTTTTTGACAAGGTCTCCCTTCATAGTCCAGACTGGCCTTGTACTCATGACAACCATCCTGCCTTAGCTTTCTTCATGCAAGAATTGTATGTACAACCTCCTATCCCCAGATCCCCAAAGTACTGCAGGTTTTTTGTTTGCTTTTTTGGTTGGCTGGTTGGTTTTGGTGTAGAAACCCAAGAAGGATTCTTAAAACACAAAAGAATATCTGTTTTGCTTTAATCTCTTAGTGATAAAAGGATGCACAGTCATGAGACCATTAAACAAAACAAGCACTGTTAGGTGTAGATTTGATTGATTTAGTAGGTTGTTATTTCTAACTCTTCCCTTTCTGTGGCCAACTTCACAATGACTTAAGGAACACAAGGACTCCCTTTGTGAATGGCCATGACGATGCCTTAAGTGATGCTTTCACTACTTTATTACACATGTCTGTTTTTCACCAGAATTTCAAATCTCAGAAAGCAAACTGGAGGCAGAAAAAAAAACCTCAAGACACTACAAACAGGTAATATATATGTCAAGCGGTATTAACTAATACCTTCTAAGTCCAAGAGCTCTTGGGAGTCGGGTTTTGAATCCTTCGGATCTATGCTCTGGAGAACCTGCAGGGCTCTATCCATTTTATCCTAAAAAAGGAACAGATGACACTAAGAAATCCACAGAAAAGCACTGTGCCCAGACACCCTCAAAGATAATAAATACATCTTTAAAATCTTGGTGGTTTATTAAACAAAAGGGTGTTACCTCATCTATATAAACAGGCTCAGGCTCTGATTTCTTAATTTCCTCCACTTCATCATCAAGTACATTCAATTTGTCCACCGTTGCTATGGAAACAAAGTGAGTTATAAGTTCTTCAACATTTACTTTGGTGATGTAGTCATTTATTTCTAAGTGGTCTATTATTATCCATGGGTGGGAAGGGCTCTTTGGTCATCACACTTCATAATCAGGATATCACATACAGTCATTCATCACACACAATATTTATTCAGCACTCACAGTGTGCTAAACCTCCTTCCCAGTACTTATGCACACACCAGTTAATAGACAGAAGAATCACGTGCTCATGGACCTACATTTGAGTAGGAAAGTGAGCAGCATTTGCAGGCGCTGTCACTACAGCTGAAAACTGAATGTTACCACCGGGGCGAAGAAATACACAAGCAAGCGAACAGACTCTATCCCTACGCCAGTTCACTTATAACTGTTAAGTTCCATCTATTCTCTAACCTTCTATATTTATAAATAAAAAGCCCAACCTGTATTTCCTATCTGAAGAAAATATAGACCTGTTTTAACCTAACTCTGATAGTTAAAATAGTACAAAGCTACAACAACAAAAAAGTATTTCATAGAGAGGATGTTGAAAAATGATTTATAAATATACATATCCTGAAGCTGGGCAACGGTGGTGCACGCCTTTAATCCTAGCACTCAGGAAGCAGAGGCAGGCAGATCTCTGTGAGTTCAAGGCCAGCCTGGTCTACAAGAGCTAGAGGAAGGAAGGAAGGAAGGAAGGAAGGAAGGAAGGAAGGAAGGAAGGAAGGAAGGGGAAGGGGAAGGGGAAGGGAAGGAAATAAATACATATCCTGAAAACTATCTAACACAAGTTCCCTGGACGGGGATGGAGAAATGGCTCAGTGGTTAAGAGCACTGTTTGCTCTTTCAGAGGACTGGGTTCAATTCCCAGCACCCACAAGGCAGCTCCTAACTGTCTGTAACTCCAGTTCTAGGGTACTGGAGTTACAAAATACCACTGCACATAAATTTAAAAAAAAAACAAAAACAAAAAACAAACAAGTTCCCCGGAGCAGTGCTAAAATGCACTTAATTAAATTTTGACTGAAACCAAGTTACTATAAAAAGCAATGGAAACAAAGGATGGAGTCCAGCAGGCGCCCAATTTAAGTATCTGGCTAACTTTGAGTTATACACAAAGAAAGCTCAACAAAACACAGGGGTGAGGATCAAGACTACCTTTTACTAAAGGTATTATTACTATAAATATAGTAATATTACTCAAGGTAGACTGGGAGCAAACCTAGGGCTCTGCACATGCTAGGACTGGGAAATCATTTACTGAAATATACTCCCAGCTGAATACTGTTGAAACAGTAGGTCAGACTCTTCAAACTAGGCCAAGGCAGGGAAATCACTGTATAGGATGTCTGCAATGGTTTACAAAGTTATCTGAAAAGTTCCCAGGGCTCCCACTCCCTAAGAAAGCCAGAGAGAAAGCAATGTACTCTGCAAACACACAAGTTAAGTCTCCCCCCCACCCAACTTCAGTCCTCTGAGGGACTCGCTAGCCGCATACCAAAGCTGTACACGATGGCTGCAGTTTTCAGTGCATGCGCTTTCTGCAGCTGTGTGGCAGCAGCTGTCTAAATGCACTGTAAGCAAGCTTGGAGGCTTCTAAATCCAATCCCTCACTACAGCTCCTCCCCCTGCAGCGGAAGTACGGATTTCATAACAGTGTGAGCACAGAAGGACTGAACCAGCCTTACTCTAAGCTGCTTCTGTTCACCTCAGATCTCCACAGCATGCCCGGAGAACAAATGCCATGTTCTCAGCCAGCACGCTGACTACACGGTTTATAGCTGCAGATGAAGACCAACAATCAAATCAAGGTGGAATAAATGTAAAACTTAAGAACCACAAAGCCCACTGTCTCACTCAGCACTGGCTGCCTGGCTGTGTGGGTCCCACCTTCACTATGATTCGCAAACACGTCTGTGCAGATCACATCAAACTGCTTCTCAAGTTTTCACTGAAATACTTACTTTACACAATCGTCACTATACTCACCAATACTCAAAGACCTGAAATACAAAGTAAGGGCTCCTGGAACTGACATGAGCCAAATTAGTTCCTTAATCTAGTTAAATTACATTGCAAAACCTATAGACAAACAATTAAAAGGAAAGTAAATACTAAATACTACTCCTCTTTTTCTTTTCTCTTTTTCCTTTTGCCCCTGGCTGGTCCAGAACTCACTATCTATGTAGTTCACGAACTTAGAGATCTGCCTGCCTCTTCCTCCCGAGTACCAGAATTAAGGTGTGGCTGCCGCGCCCAGCTCTCATCCACTCTTCAGTGTCAATAATACAAGTCAAGGGAAAACAATTTCAACAGACTGAGGTGTCTCTGAGGAAGCAGGACCCTTTGTTAACTCACCTGGCTCAGGCTCTGTGTTTAAGTTAGTCGTGACAAAGTTAGAGGGGAAGAGTCCTATTCCTCTGTGGCTCTCTCCTTTCCACCAATTGGCATCACTGAAAACAGAGCAGGAAAACGGTCATTGGCTCTGCATCCTGTCAACGGGAAACTGAAAACAGTTGTCGTATTTTACACCTTAGTTCACATCTAGCTGTACAAGCTGTTCTCTTAGAGAAGCACAGTGGGGTATGCCTGTAATACCTGCACGGTCACAGCAGAAATAATTTTCTTCTCAAATTAATGAAAATATATTTTTAAAAAAGTACAAATCAAAGAAAATCTATATCCCCTTACTAAATTTTAAAGCAGTTTTCCATGACTAAGCCCCAAGCCAAAATCCTTCCATCTACAGTAGCAGCATCCAAGCTAGATAGCAGCTCCCCCCACCTATTTTCCACCCTTTCACAAGCAGACAGCTAAACGACACTCAAAAGGAGACATGTGTTACTCCACAGAGTGCCTTTTAGTTTACTACTGTTAGATTTTAGTTTTTTAAAAGTTTTTAAAACTTTATAGATTACTACTTCTGGAACCTGCTCATTCCTTTCAAAGTTCTATTGAAGTACACATTATATTTAATTTACTCATTTCTGTGAAGATGGACTTTTTAGGTCATTCCAGGTCATTCCCAATCTCTCAACAATAAAAAGACTGAATAGTGCAGGGTGGTGGTGGTGCACACCTTTAATCCCAGCACTCAAGAGGCAGACTCAGGTGGATCCCTGAATTTGAGGCCAGCCTGGTCTACAGGGTGAGTTCCCAGACAGCCAGGGGTACACAGATAAACCCTGTCTCAATAAACAAACAAATCAACAAACAAAAGACTGAATAGCAACAATTCTGGATTAGAAGGCCCATAAGGAACAACTATTCTAGGTTCCTGCAAGCTAGGTGTGATGCATATGCCTATAGTTCTTACTACCTGGAAAGGATCACATGAGCCCAGGAGTTCAAGGCCAGTCTTGACAAAATGGCAAAACAATGAAACCCTGTCTCCCCAAAATGGGAGAATGGGGGGAGAGGGAGATAACACAAACAGCTTACTGGCTCATGGATATAAGCACGCTCAGTTTTACAGATATGTCAAATGTTCGTTAGAAAAGACTGAGAGAGTATGCGTTCCTTCTCTCCCAAGATGCACGTGAGGAAGTCATTTTCTCCTGTGCTTGGTAACTGTCCACGCCTGCGCCTGACACCTCACCTGCACTGTCCAAGCACCGCCTATGGCCTCTTCCACAGACTGCTCTTCTCCTTGCCCTTTAGCTTGTCCTGCTGGCTCACGGACATTTTTTCAAGGACTGTAGTTCTCTATGCACTCAGAATAGCAGCAGCTTGTCTGAATTCAGCCCATCCCCGCTCTCAAACTGACTCAGCAATCTTTTCTCCGTTTTACATGTTATCTTTCTCTGCCCTGTATTACTAAGTCTGTTCTCCCACAGATTTGCCTGATAGTTGAGATTTTCATATTTGTCCATCTCCCATGTACAGGTCACTAACTTATGTGAAGTCAAACATAAAGTACTGTGTAAATCAAACTTCATTTTATTAGATGAATAGCTAATCAATCTAGCAGAAATAATTAAAAGTTCATCCTTGAAAAAAAAAAAAAGAAGAATTTGTGAGCCCTCCCTAACTGTCAAACAGCAGCTGTATCTGTTCATGAGCCTATTTCAGAATCTTACTTCATTACAATAGTCAGGAGAGGAATTCAGTATCTACGGGGTTTTTTCCTGGGTTTCACTTACTTATAGTCAATCATGGTCTAAAACTAGTAAGAAAAAAGCTGTATAACAATGTATAAGTTTTCAATTTTATGTCATCTGCCTAGGAAGTGACTCATTTCTGTCCAATGCATCCATGAAGAGTCCACGCCCCTCCTGTTGTCATCTTATTTCATTTATTGCAGACCTTCATATTTCCTTATTAAAATACAAGTATTTTTCAAATTCTTTGGGAAAAAGAATTTCAAAAGGAGTTTAATTGGAAATCCAGTTGACTTATGTGACATGAGAAAACCTAAATCTTTACAATATTAAGATTCATCTTTTTATATCAGGTATATCTCTTTCCTTTTGTACATTTATAAATATATTTTTATTATTTCTTAACTTTCAAAGTATTTATAGTTTCTCCATAAAGGCCTTAAGTACCTTTGTACTATATCACTTATAAAACTCTAAAAGTATTTATTTTATTTTACATGTAAGCATGTGTGTTGAGTGTTATGTATGTGCAGCACACGCACGCAGGAGCCCGAAGAGGTCAGAAGAGGTGCTGCACTCCCGGAAACGGGAGTCACAGATGGTTGTGAGCTGCCACGTTGGATCAGTGAACCAAACCCAGGCTCCCTGCAAAAGCACTTAATCCTCATAACTGCTGAGGGCAAATTTTGTTACTATTGTGAATGATATCTTTTTTACTACATTTTCTAAATATACCACTGATTTTGTATATTAAGTTTATATCTAATAACCCTAACATAAACTTAGCTGTTTATTAATAGTCTGCCCACTGACTGTCTTAGACTTTCCACATGGACAGTCATAGTTACCCCTTTTTTCCTACTTAATAGAAATTTCATGTGCTGAACGCCATTCTTTTTTTTTTTTTTTTTTTTTTTTTTTGTGGTTTTTCGAGACAGGGTTTCTCTGTGGTTTTGGAGCCTGTCCTGGAACTAGCTCTTGTAGACCAGGCTGGTCTCGAACTCACAGAGATCCGCCTGCTTCTGCCTCCCGAGTGCTGGGATTAAAGGCGTGCGCCACCACCGCCCGGCCTGAACGCCATTCTTAAGGATGTTTTTGTTTGTTTGTTTGTTTTTCTGTTTGGTAGGACTAGACACCACAGCTGAAGCTTTTTTAATGCTAGGCACAAACTCTTTTTCTTTTTTCTTAATAATTAATTTAACTTTATTTTACGTGAATTGGTGTAAAGGTGTCAGATCTCCTGAAACTGGAATTACAGACAGTTGAAAGCTGCCCTATGGATGTCAAGAATTGAACCCAGGTCCTCTGGAAGAGCAGTCAGTGCTCCTAACCACTGAGCCATCTCTCCAGCCTCTAGGCACAAACTCTTAACACTGAGGTGCCCACTAAGAAAGAATTTTAGGATTAATGATCAATTAATCTCCGAGATTCTGGAACATTTCATTTACGGAGTTTCAAGAAGATATAAAAGAGCTATCTATTGCCTAAATTCTTAAGATCAGAAAATGATGTATCAATAGTTCCAATAGTTCTGAGATATTATATATGCTAATTTCTTCACTCTTCGCGGGGAGCTTCCCCACTTGTATCTGTCAGGCTACAGCAGAGAAAAGCAACTGAAAGAGTTCCCTTCTGAAGACTAAGCTGACACTTGTCAAGACAAAAGAGAAATTAGGCTGTTGAAATAAAAATGACATTTTCTTACAGTCGTGATGGAAAAACAAGAAAATAAAACACACAGATAAAAACCTACCTTTTTATTCTAAGATTTAAAAGAGAGATTAAGGTTCTCCAATCTAGTTCTAGGTCTTAGACTGGCAATATTACTCAGTTAAAGGCACTTCCCAAGCCTGACAACCTGAGTTTGACCCCTAGGGCCCACATGGTGGAAGGAAAGTTGTCCTCTGACCACTACAAATGTGACACAGCACACACGTGCCCCACTCCCCATAAGGAAATAAACACGTTTAAGTCTCAGAATCAAGAAAAACTTCAGCCTTTCTCTTCAGCTATGAACACTACCCAAGACAACTTTCCTGATGGCTTTTGTAGTGACAATGGCAAAAGGAAGAAGTGTCCTTGATGAGTAATGTCACCACAAAGAAGACTATGTCTAGTCAGGCGGTGATGAGTAGAGTCACCACGAAGAACACTATGTCCAGTCAGGTGGTGATGAGTAGAGTCACCATGAAGAACACTATGTCTAGGTGGGCGGTGATGGCTCACGCCTTTAATCCCAGCACTTGGAAGGCAGAAGCAGGCGGATCTCAGTGGATTTGAGAATTCTACAAACATAGTTCCAAGACAGCCAGGACTCTTACACAGAGAAACCTTGTCTCAGAAAACAAAAATAACAAGAACAAAAGAGAACACTATGTCTACCACGAAAAATTAAGCAATAAACCCAGAACTGCAGTGATATCCCAATCATCTCCATTTCTTTCTTCCTTTTTGTTTTTCAAAACAGGGTTTTTCTGTGTAGCTCTAGCTATCCTGGAATTGGTTCTGCAGACCAGAGTGGCCTTGAAATCACAGAAATCTGCCTGCCTCTGCCTCCCAGGTACTGGGACTAAAGGTGTGCACTACCAATCTTTTTCTTAAAGTTTCGTTTTTACTTTTTAATCAACCCTTCCATTTAATGCTCAGACTCCTTTCAGTATCTTACAAACTTTTTCAAAGTCAACCCAAGGAGCTAGGGATACAACACAGTAGCAAAACACTACTCTGACTGTATGAGGCCTGGGTTCAGTCTCTGGTAATGAAAAACATGGAACAACAACAAAAAATTGCCATTAAGATTCATCTGAAGTAAAGTGGTCCCTGAGCAGGCCTCCTAAACCACAAATCTACACCAAATGTAGACTGATTCTCTATGGCCTGAGTCATGGTATCACCAGGTTCTGTCCTGCATATCATTGTCTACACAGTTATTTTAACTCCCTTAAGTTTCACAAAAACAGAACTGTGTCCTCATTCATTTTTTATTATAAATTGTCTATTACATAACATTTTCTCTATAAATACTTACAGCAGCAAAGCAAAACCATATGTATCTATCCACTTAAAAATAGGCTAGACTAGGGCCAGCAAGATGGCTCAGCAGGTTAAAGTCAAGCATACAGCTTGAGTTCGATCCCAGAACCCACATGGTAGAAGGTTGTTTCTTGCAAACTGTCCTGACTTCCACGTGCACACAGTGGTGGTAGTGGGGGGGGCACATTCATGCATGCATGCGCACAAATAAATTTACTTAAAAATGAAAACTACCTATCTTTCCTTGACTAGTATATCCTCAATGTGTTATTTAGAATGGAAAGCAGCTACACGTGCCAACTCTGTTCACAGCTGTCTGGTCTCACTGCTGCAAAGTTTCGTCAACTACATTTATTTATCTATTTGTGTATGTGTGCGGGAAGGTCAGGGGACAGCCTACAAGAGGCAGTTCTCCCTCCAGCATGTGGGTCCAAAGGACTAAACTCAGGTCATAAGACTAGAGCTCCGACCACTGAGCCAACTCAGCAGACCAGGTCACTTTGTCTTAAAAGTAAAGCTCGCTCTCTCTCTCTCTCTCTCTCTCTCTCTCTCTCTCTCACACACACACACACACACACACACACACACACACACACAGAAACAGACATGTCTGCACTCTCTAGAACCTCAACATTTGGGAAACTGAGACTGGAGGCCTTAGAGGCCAAGACAGCCTAGGCTACCCGGTGAGAACCTGTCTCAAAAGACAAAAAACAAACCAAAGAATGGAATTTAGGCTCAAGACAGATCAATCTATTTTATTCCTTAAAATTTTAAAAGATAAAGGAATTGTGGGAGGAATAGAGCAGCTGTATGTGAAGACTTTTGATGGAGCGTGACTTTCAACGGCTCTCATCAAGGTTCTCATTACCTAGTCTAATCTTCAAGAAACGAGGAAGAGAAGACTGGATTATTTGACTAAAAGTAAAAACCTAAATACTCCTGGTTCTCAGCTAAAGATACTATACTGTTTTAAGAATGTTCCACAAATAAACATATAAAACATACCTGTCATCCAAAATGGTGATAATTTCACCATGTTTAAAGGTGAGCTCATTGTCCTCAACAGCTTCAAAGTCGTATAAAGCTCTGACTCTCTGCGCAGTCTTATTATTTAACTGAATGTCTACAGGTGGATACAAAGACTTTGTCTCTGCATGCTGCTGCTTCTGCTCTTGCAATGACAGTTCAATAGCTAGTTGGAAAAATTAAATAGGAAACACATCCAGAATTAATTGTAACATCTAAAGATGTTTTAAAATATTAGATAACAATTTTATACTTAGCAATAAATCAAGCAAGCATTTTCATTTTATCGAGACAGGGTCTCATCTAGTCTTGAACTCCCTAAGTAGCTGAGAGTGGCCTTTAACTCCTGGTACTCATCTCCACCTCGCAGATGCTGGGACTCTGGGCATATGCCATCAAGCCTGTCCAAACAAATGCTAAGTGGTTAAATTCACGAGGGGACAGAGACACATAACATTTTTAAAATAACATTTCTGCTCATGCCTTATTATCACAGCCTGTAATATACAGCAGCTATTATTTTTATAGCAAACAGATTGTGACATTATAATATGGGTAGCTTTCCATATAGGACAAACCACGAACATATTTCTGTGCTTGAGTCATAACTTTGGCATTAAGAAAAGGTGAAATGTAACTCTCTAAAGGTAGAATATTAAATATATGTTACTGAAAAATAAAATGAATTAGACTCATCTTGTGTCATGTCACTGGTTTTCCTGACTTTTAAGACCCTACAGCTTGGGACTGGAGAGATGGCTCAGAGGTTAAGAGCATTGCCTGCTCTTCCAAAGGTCCTGAGTTCAATTCCCAGCAACCACATGGTGGCTCACAACCATCTGTAATGGGGTCTGGTGCCCTCTTCTGGTCTTCAGGCATACACACAGACAGAATATTGTATATATAATAAATAAATAAATATTAAAAAAAAAAGACCCTACAGCTTTTAGATTTGAGGTAGAACTAAGTCTATAGTCTTTTTATAATTTTTCTTTCAGGAAAATATCTTGGTAAAGCTATTTTGAGCAGCACAAATTATCGCGTTTTATCATTTACCTTTAGCTATGTCCTCATCTTCTTTGTTTTTGTTCAATGATGCACCGTTTTTGGCAGCAGCCGCGACAGTCTGCAAGCGTACGAGTAAAATGAGCACAACTATCCTTTCAAAGAAGCACAAGCTCTATAATTACATGCAATGCTAATTAAAACACTGATAATACTGATAACTGAGCTCCACTTAAAAGTGAGGTTCTTCATGATCATTTAAGCAATTGTTTTAAATATTAACACTAAACATCAGTTTTCAAGAAAACATTATAAACACACAAGATGACTAATATTTTACATCAATCTAAGTATCTGACAGAACTGGGCATAAAGGAAGTACCGATGATTTTTACAGAACGAACAGATACCTCTTCCTGGCCTCAAATGCTGAAGGTCTCTTATTCAGGGAGAGGCACTCGGGTGCTAGCTACTAGCTCAGAGCTCTGACAGGAAAAGAATACCCATGGTTGGAGAGGAGCAACCTTGCAGACTCAGCAGAAGACTGGAGAGGGTCCTGTTGAGTTTGATGGCACCTAAGACAGGTGTCCAGGTCTCTGGACACCAACAGTTCTTTAACACCCATTTTTGAGAATGACACGCAGAAGGACAGACTGCCTGCTCTTTATGACTCACCAGAATACTCAGCCACCCTTACCTCTCCAGATGAGTCCCAGTCTTGCAGCTCTACCAAGCACATTAGTGTGTCAACCCCAGCATGCTCACTTGTTAACAGGCCACGCTCAACTCCACAAATCTGTTCACAGCAGCCCTTCCCACCATCTCTTCTGTTTCCACCCTATCTAACACAACACATTCAAATCTCAAAATTCTTCCTCTCTATGTCCTCACTGTCTGAATCTGTAGTCCTGCTTTCTTCTTGGTGCTAAGACAGCATCTAGTCATCATCCATCAGCCAGTAGTAATTTGTTCTACGTATATGGCCTTCTTTCAAATTTACCATAAATTTCTTCTTAAACATTTAACTTGTGGGTTGAGGGTGCATGTGTGCTAGTGTGTTAGTCAGAAGATAACTTTGTGAGCTGGTTCTTGTCTTCCATTTTTACATGGGTTTCTGGAACTGAACTCAGGCCATATCAGGTATGTACCCCCCCCCAAAAAAAAAACAAAAAAGCAAGCATTTTGCCCATGGATCATCTCTCTAGCCCCTTATCATTATTTCTTAAACAGAAGGTTGACCGGAACATTCTATATTTCTCACAAGATTCCAGACTTTAGAGGAGCACTAGCTATATTATTTGTATTTTTACTTCAGAAATTTCTGATATGTAGAAGAAAATTATTGAAAAACGAGATGTCTACTAAACGTATACTACGTAAGTACTACAATAAGTAGGCTCTCAAGGGATGCAGACAATAAGATATTCCTTGCTAAGAGCAAGATGGCTCAGCAGGTGTTTACCTGCCGCCCAGCCTGACAGGTGTAAGCCTGGTGGAAGTTATATCCTCAGGACCCACATAGTGGAAGGAGGAGACCAACCCCACAAGTCGTCCTCTGACCGCCACTCTCCTACTCCCTTGCTTTCACACACACACGCACGCACACACACACACACACGCACACACACGCACACACACAGACGTGTGCGCGCACACACACACGCGTGCACACGCACATACACACGCACGTGTGCACACACACACACACGCACACCAACTCACATTCCCTGCTGGCTTTTCTATGAGCTCTGCAGAGGAAAACCACGGTCTGGATGAGCCTCTCACCTGGGACCCTGCTGCAGGAAAAGTCACTCCTTCTTCTTTCATAGATTTAATAGTTGCAGCTATCAGACTACACTGGGGGTCCTTCTGAAATTCTTCTGACCATTCCACCATTAGAGATTTCAGTTTCTCACAGACTTTAGGATGAGCCTTTTAAAGTGGCAAAGAAAAAGGAATAAAGCAACCAAAAAAATAAAAAGATAAACACAAACAAAAAACTCCCATGTAGCTAAAGTAAGGACTTAAGTTAATAAGCGAGCTGGCAAGATAGTTTGGCAGATAAAAGTGCTTGCTGCCAAGCTTGGCATCTGAGTTTGACCCCATGACCACACTGTCAAGGGAGAGAAGCAACTCCCACGGCTGTTCTCTAAGCTCCACAAACACTGTGGTATGAACAAGTAAGCACATGCACACACATACACTCAAAAAATAAATGAAAACAACTGAACTTTATTAACAGAGAATCACCACTGAATTTCTCTTTAAGTATATAAACACCAGCTAAGAGCAGTAAGTTCTGAACTAGCTGAGCAACTGACAGGCTCTTATTCACATTTTCAGATAGAATAGCCTCATGGAAAAAAAAAAAAAAAGTCACCCTTTCAGAATACTTCTTACTCAAAAGACTTCTGTGTACTAAAGGCTATTCGCTCTGTTATCTCAACATTCTCACTATGAGATTAGGATTTTCACATCAACCTGAGGAACAGTGTTTCAGAGTTTGTGTTGCAGAGAAGGGGCACCCACCCTGCTCTCACATGAAGCTTCCCTTTCTTCACCAACTCCAGTGGAAATCAGTACAGAACAGTGGCAAAGTCTGGAGTCAAGAGTCACAGGCACCCAGATCTGAATCCCAACTACACCACTTTCTATCTGTATGACCCTGACAAAGCCAAGCTTCAAGAATAGTTAAAAATACACAAGGCGGTCTACACAAAAAATGGTCAAAGCAGTGACCAGGCCTTAGCCAAGATGAGCTCATACCCATAATATATACGTGTGTATGTGTGTGTATATGTATTTGTGTATATACATATACATGAATATGGATATACAAAGATGGATCTTTGTATATTCACATATATGCACACACACACATATATATGAAAGAAAACAAACAGCCTAGGCGCTATGACTATCAAAAATCAAGGACAAGACACTTTAACTATTTAATAGTGCTTTCATTAGTAATGAAACTTTATTACACAGAATTAAAACAATGCACAGTACATTTATTGTATAATGACTTAAACTTCTTTTTTAATTTAAAATTTACCTTATTTTTTATCACAGCACGAGCTTCCGTTGCAAAATCACGGGAACATACTTCTAAATGAAATATCTTTCCACAGTTTGCCACACAAGCCCCAAGAAGCTATCAATTAAAATAAAAATGAATACATAAACATCAAATGTTCTGACTCAGTCACTGAAGTGAAAGCACTTTAACAGGGTCAGCTGAAATGGCATCCACTCACAGTCAACGCCTGCAGAGCGACATGAGGGACTTTATGGTTCACCCGCTTCATTATGGCTTTCAGGCAATCTTTTGCTCTTAAAATAAAAATGGAGAAAGTTAAGAATTGTTTGAGAGTTTTAATTAAAATTTTAAAAATACGAAGTATTACTAACAGCTTTAAAAATAAAATGCTACAGACATCTTTATTAAGCCTCTGTGACTTTGTACACTGTGGCTCACAAATCTTATAAAACTGTGTATTCCAATAATAAGAGAAACATCATTTCACCACAAAGCTAGTCAACATAGAGAACTGTACCATAGAAAGGCTATTTCTCCAGACAGACTGAGCTGTCCACAAGCAAACTCTCATCGTGAAAAGAGCTAGCGCGACACATCGTCTTACAAGGCTCCCCACATGCGTGAATGTGCTATGGAAGCAGATGCTAGCACACTGCACAAACACCCTCTGCTGGAGAAAACAGGCGCAGCTCACTAGCTGTGTCCTGTACAAAAGCATTTTTTTCGCACAAGTTTGTATTGTATTTAGAAAGGCTACCTAAAAGTCCACCTCACAGGGAAATCCACCCCCACCCATAGCCACTGTTTTCCTGGTTAGCATGCGGCCCTGCTGTTAAAGTCTTTAGTTACCTACATCTAAATGCAGATCAGGCTTTTGTTTCTCAGGACAAAGTCAATACAAAATCTAGCCCACTGATCTCTTTATTTCTATCTCCCTGAACCAAATAGCTAGTTAAGTAAGCAGTTACATAGCAAATTTAAATAAATGCTACCATTAAACCAGCCTGTCAATGTCCTTTCAATTTCCACTGTCTAGACACAAGCTAACCAAGCTGCTTACCCGTGACCATCTTACCCATTGGGAGTGCTTCCAACCCTATCACAGATGTCCATAATCAGACTCCAGTCTTCTGTGGTGTTGTACTCGTTTGTGGCTTTTTCTGTAAGATATAGTAAATAAAAATTAGAACATATCTTTAAAACACATTAAGATACCAATGAAGGACAATAGTTAAGAATTTACCTCCTCTCCACTCAAAGGTAGAGAACTACAGAAGAATTTCAGAAAAGAGCACACTTCTACTAACCTCAGTTTTATTTTTGAGGTTTGGGTTTTTTTTTAATATTTATTTATTTATTATGTATACAAATTCTGTCTGTGTCTATGCCTGCAGGCCAGAAGAGGGCACCAGACCCTATTACAGATGGTTGTGAGCCATCATGTGGTTGCTGGGAATTGAACTCAGGACCTTTGGAAGAGCAGGCAGTGCTCTTAACCTCTGAGCCATCTCTCCAGCCCTTGAGGTTTGGGTTCTTGCTTGCTTGCTCTGTTTTTATTTTTAAGCAAGTTCTCTCACTCTGTAACCCAGGCTGGCCTGGAATTCGGGTAATTGGTGATTATGAGCACTCACTATTCTTCATAGGACCTGGGTTCAATCCCCAGCACCCCATGGTGATTCATGACTGTCTTTAACTCCAGTTCCAGGAAGCACACGATACACAGACATACAAGCAAGCAAAACACTCAGACATATAAAATAAATAAATCTAAAGCAAAAAAAAAATCTTAAGGAAAAAATGTTTTTAAAAAGCCTCGCCCTGCCAAGAACTGGGATTATAGACATGTGCTGCCAGGGCCAACTTAACTATAATGACATGAACAGGACCAGTTTTATCCTCAAAGTCCTTTATGTAATCTGGAATATTTCATGATGAAAGCAAAGTTAAACTCCCCATCTGACTAAAGACATCTTCAGAAATAATGGCTGAGTCACACTTAACTATATTAACTTTTTCCTGAGACCACCTCACTATCAAGTCCAGGTGACTTCAAACTAATGATTTTTACAAAAGCCTCCCCAATGCTGAGATTAAACCAGGAACTGCCACATCCAGGCTGTATAAAATTTTAATAAAATTTCAATATGAAGGGAAGCATACAACTTTTTTTTGCTAGTAACTAAATACAAAAGCTCACAATTTATAAACATTTTATGGGCTGACAGTACAGAACAGAGTTGTAGAGGTCTCGTCTAACATGCTTGAGGCCCTGACTCCATCCTCAGTAGCCAAAATGAGAACGATTGATTTTAACGAACTTTTTAATAAATAATTCAAAACTAGCACACACACATTCATCCCAGGTGCCACAGTAATAAGCAGGAAGGACAGCAGGGACTCTAGAGTAGGTTTTTTTACAAGGAGTAATTTCTAGAAGACAAAAGCACCAGGCTTAGAGGGCAGCTTTACTTTGCAAGTAGGAAAGAAAACTACATAGAATCCAGTTCACCTCAGCTAATCACTGGAACTTTCTTTAAAGAACCCTGTGACACGTGTGCTGATGCAGACCTGTGACCTCAGCTCTAGGGCAGAAGTCTGGAGGCCAGCCTGGAGTACTCAGGAGTCCCAGGCCAGAGTGAGCTGCCTGTTTCAAAAAGCCAAAGCAAGGGCTGCGGACACAGCTCGGTAGTGGAACACTTGCCTAACATGTGCAGGTCCCCAGGGTTGAGCCCCAGCAGCACTGAAGAGCATTAGGTGCATGGGCTTGCTACCGTGAGCCAAGAGCAGACCTCTCCCTGCAGGAATAAGCCTGTACAGAGAAGTAAAGTACCCCGTGGTTCAGGCAAGACTCTGGTAAGATGGTTCAAGAAGAGCTGGCTGCTCTCACACTTACCCACTAGTTATGTTATAAGCAAGAGAAGCATTACAAAGAATGCCATGACTTCTGATACCAGTAGGAGCGTTAAGTGCACTGGTCCTGTGGGCTTGATACTTCGAGCCCCAGAGGTGAAGAGAACAGAGAAAGGGAAGAAGAGACACAAAGTGGTACTAATGGCACCCTCTTCCTGGAAACGAAGACCCAGCAAAGCATTTGTCATTAGCATCATGAACAGGCTAATGAGAACTTTCCTAAGTTTCCAGTTATAAATAAATCGCCCCATGTTCATAAATATACATCTATACCAACATTTTATTTTTTAAAGTTGTTCTTAACTAAATATTTTTCATGCAATGTATTTTGATCATAATTCCCCTTCCCCAACTCCTTCCAGATCCTTCCACCTCCTTACCCAACCAACTTTATCTCTGCCTCTCTCTCTCTCTCTCTCAAAATAATAAAACAAACAAGCAAACAAAAACCCACAAAACAAGCAAAAGACAAAAAAAAAAAAGGCCAAAACTGAACAACATCTACAAAAGAAACAAACAAAAAACAAGGAATTTATATATGTTGGCTCCTGGGCATAGGGCCTGCCCTGGAGTGTGGCTGATACACCCAGTGACAATGGAGTGAAGAAAACTGATTTTCCCATTGCAGGAGGTATCAACTGCAGATAGCATCTTGGTTACGGATGGGATCCTGTGCCCACTTCCCTGTTCTGGGACTATCTTATACCATAATTTTAACAGTTGCATAATATTCCATTATGTATGTGTGTGCATGTTCACAAGAGAGGGGGAAGAGAAAGGGGAAGAGAGGGGGGTGAAGCAGACAGATACCAGAGTCCCTAAAAAAGGTAGGCGAAGTGGCTAGTAAGCCAGGCATGGTGACTCATGCCTATAATTCTAGCACTTTGAGGCTAAAGTTGAAGGGTAAGAGCCAAGATCATCTTGGGCTACAAAGTGAGTTCCATGCCAATCTGAGGTAGGTAGAGAGTACATGCATAAATAAATAATAAATAAATCAGCAAAGGGTGGCTTAAAATCTATCCAGTACTCAGTGTCTTTGCTATGCAATGGATACTGGTCATATTCATGCCCCACATAAACCAAGTATTAAAATGAAAAGGATTAAAATTTTTTATTTAATTTTACCATTTAAAAGGTATAGTAGCACTTGTGTATAATTCCAGCACTCTGGAGGCTGAGGCAGGAAGATCATGGTCAGCCTGGGAAATCCTATTTGAAAAAGATTGGTAGGACATCATACATAGGCCATTCTATGGCTGCTTAAGAGAATAAATCTTATTTTTTGTCTGTTCCTTTTACCTCCTCTTCTATTACGGCAGGATTTCCTGTTCTCTATCGTTATTTCTAGCACATCAAACAGTACCTAAGGCCCGCAGCAGATATCAACACCATCCCGTGAATGAACGAGTGTATGCTGGATGCTCTTCTATAGCCTATGATGCTACAACGTGTTACACAGCTGCAGACGAGAACACAAACTCAAAGAGCTTTAAAGATAACGCTCAACTGCCCTAGCGGAATCCTAGATTACCCTGAGCTTTACTGGTATGCAATTAAGACGGAGCTTCAACAGCAATATCACGTGGCAACAAAAGGCAACAGTACTGGGGTTCTGTGGCTCCAGGTCTGTTTGTGAACTCATGAAGGTGACAAAGTGGAGAAGGCAAGGCCTCAGAGGGCAAAGGACTTCTCATGTATGTCGCATTATCCTCAGGGTGAAAACTAAATCACACATACTACAATAGCCTTCCTCTGCCTAAGAGTTTTACTCACCTAAGCCATGACAGAACCGACCACTCTTCCTTTTTATAATATGCCATGAAGTTTGAATTACTTAAAAATTAAATTTTACCCATATTCTCTTTTGTATGCATATTATTTCTTTCTTACATATAAGTCTGACTTATATGTATACATATTTGTCATATGTATATACATATGAGTTTGACTTATATGTATATTGGTCATATGCAATTCTGAACCTTATTTAGTATAAAGTATAAGCCAGGAATAGAAACTGTCACAAAATTTGTTAAGCAGCTCCAACATTAAGAATCTGTCCTTTCTTAGGGCCAGGCTTGGTGGTGCACACCTTTAATTCCAACACTTGGGAGGCAAAGGCAGGCAGATCTCTGTGAGTTCAAGGCCAGCCTGATCTACAGAGTGAGTTCCAGAACAAGTTCCAAAGCTACAGAGAAACCCTGCCTCGAAAACAAACAAAAAAGTCACCCAATCCCAAAACAATCACACAGAAGCTTAATATTAATTACAAACTGGTTGGCCTATTGCTCAGGCTTATTGATAACTAGCTCCTACTTTTAGATTAACCCATTTCTATTAATTTTTGTATCGCCACATGGCTCGTGGCTTTAGCTGTGATCTAGTACATCTTTCTGCTCCGGCAGCAGGGCTGTCACCTCCCCCGACTCTGCCCTTCCTCATCTGAGTTCTCGCTTGATTGTTCCACTTAAACTTATCCTGCCTAGGTATTGGTCAAACAGCTTTTGTTATTAACGAGAGGAATAAGACTCACAGAGTACAGAAAGACCATCCCATAGAAGAATCTATCCTTTCTCATTTATCTGAAAAGTTAGCACTATCATTATCTACTTTGTTGACTACCTCTATATATAATACATATGCTGCTCGACAAATCAATAGATCAGTTTAACCTTGGATCTAACGCATTCTGCTAGAACACAACTTTACATGATTATTTTTTCATTTTTGGCCATGTGCTACAAACAGGTACAGAGCTTATTCTGATACAGCCCAAAAGCCTACCATAGTACAAAAATACAGAAAGAAAATACTCTTTACTTGATTTGAATCCCATTGGAAATGGAAGTATTCTGATGTGAATATTCCATCAGGCCTAGTTTACTCTGTATAAATATAGGACTCACAATTATTCTTTTCTTCTTTATTTTTTTAATATTTATTTATTTATTATGTATACAATATTCTGTCTGTGTGTATGTCTGCAGGCCAGAAGAGGACACCAGACCTCATTACAGATGGTTGTGAGCCACCATGTGGTTGCCGGAAATTGAACTCAGGACCTTTGGAAGAGCAGGCAGTGCTCTTAACCACTGAGCCATCTCTCCAGCCCCTCACAATTATTCTTTTAAAATGTATAAAATGTGAAGACTTTATAATGGCCTGCCAAAATGGACTTCATTTTCAAGTGAACTAAGTAACATTTAAATTATGTACTTAGGAGTATTTTAAACTCCTGGAAAAATTTTAA